GTGGAGCAGGTCAGCCAGTCTGGCTGAGAAGAGCCTCCTCCCTAGGGGAGAGAGGTGGAGGCCATCTCTTCCCAGCAGCTCGCTGCCTCTCTCGCCAAAGAGCGGGCTGTGGTCATGAAAGCCAAAGCCTTCCTGACGACACCAGCGCTGCAGTCTTTGGTTGACCACATAGATCCTCCTGTCCCTTCTCAGCCCATAGCCTGATACTGGGAGGATCGACGAGAACACTACCTGTGCCCCCAGACCCTTAAGCCCCGCTCCCAAATCCCTGTAGCGCCTCATGACCTGGCTGGGAGTGCTCCGAGCAGTGTCATTGGTGCCCACATGAATAAGGAGCATGGGATAGTGGTCTGTGAGGATGCGGAGCTTTGGGATCCTCTCCGTAATGTCCCGGATGCGGGCCCCCGGGAAGCAGCAGACTTGCTGGGCTAAGGGGTCGGGGTGGCAGATTGGCCCCTCAGTCCCCCTCAGGAGGGAGTCTCCCACAACAAACAAACATAGACTCGTAGATGTTAGGGCTGGAAGGGACCTCGGAAGATCATCGAGTCCAGCCCCCCACCCCAGGGGAAGGAAGTCAGCTGGGGTCACAGGATCCCAGCAAGATAAATGTCCTAATGACTCTTAAAGGAATCCAGAGTAGGTGCTTGTACCACCTCTGGTGGCAGTTTGTTGCAGGCCTTTGGGGCTTGGACAGTAAAGAAGTTCGTCCTTATGTCCAGCCTGAAATGGTCTTGGAGAAGTTTGTGACCATTTGACCTTGTTATCTCGTGGTGCGCCATGACCAGTGGGGTCCCCCAAGGCTCTGTGCTTGGGCCTATCCTTTTCAACATGTTCATTTATGATGTGGACATTGGTATCAGAAGTGGACTGGCCAAGTTCGCTGATGACACCAAACTTTGGGGTAAAGCATCCACACCTAAGGACAGGATGGCGATCCAAGCCGACCTTGACAGGCTCGGAAAATGGGTGGACGAAAACCATCAGGCCTTCAACGCCAAAAAATGCAAGGTTCTCCACCTTGAGAAGAAAAACCTGCAGCATCCTCATAGGCTTGGCAGTGCTACACTTGCTAGCACCACGGCGAAAAGGGACTTGGGGATCATGACAGACCACAAGATGAATACAAGCCACCAGTGTGATGTTGCAGCTGGCAAAGCGAGCAAAACTCTGGCTTGCATGCATAGATACTTCTCTAGCAAATCCCAGGATACCATCCTCCCGCTGTACTCAGCCTTGTTGAGGCCGCAGCTAGAGTACTGCATCCAACTCTGGGCTCTACAAATTAAAAAGGATGTGGAGAAGCTTGAGAGAATTTAGAGGAGAGCTATGCGCATGATCAGAGGTCAGGAGAACAGACCTTATGATGAGAGGCTGAGAGCCATGGGACTCTTCAGCCTGGAGAAGCGCAGGCTCAGGGGGGGACCTGGTGGCTGCCTATAAAGTATATAAGGGGTGTACATCAGGATCTGCGGGATGCCTGTTCACGATTCAGTTCCGTCAACTATAACTCTCTGGAGCTCTCCAGCCTCGGAGCCAATTCCCCAGTCAGTGGACTGTGATGTAGCTGAGGCCACAGTTGGCCAGTTTTTCTATAAGACGATCATAAGATACCAAAATGAAAGCTTTTTTAAAGTCAAGATATATGATGGCAATCTCTTCGTCCTTGTCCAGGTGATATGTCACCTGGTCATAGAAGGAGATGAGATTGGTCAGGCAAGACCTACCCACAACACACCTGTGCTGGCTGCCCCTCAAGAAGTTGCCTTCAGCCAGAATTCCCGGTCAAGTTCTTGATCCTGGTTAGGAGGTCGGTAGTAGACTCCCACCGTTGTGTCACCTGTGCCGTGAATTTACAAATGGAGCAAAACAGCACCCTGCAGTCTATGAATCCCCACTTCTGGCTGGAAAAGGGCCACAAATACGTCCCACGGCATCCAGCCAGTGAGTGGGAGAGTGCTTTGGAGCTAGGAGTTGTCCGTGTCCAAGTGCTCTGCTGGATCGACCTGGAAGATCCCCTCAGAGCTATTCCCAGTGAAAGGGCACAGGACTCTTCTGCCTGGGGTGGCTGTGGCCTGGATCAGGAGCATCAGTAACTCTGCGGTGGTGGGGGTCGTACTGCCACTGCCCCAACCCAAACCCCAGGCACCCTCCAGATGTGTTGTGCTGTCACAGTCCACGAGCTAACTGTATTTTCCTTTCCAGGCCTGCGTCACTCCAGATCCCGGGCCAGGGATCTCGGAGACGGGCACCAGCCTGGGGGATGGAGGAATTGCCTCGCTCGTTGGTGGAGTTGGTGAGTCAGAAACTCACATTTCTTGGTCCAGGGAAAGGTTTTTATTCAACCTCTTGGCTGCAGGAGTGCTTTGCAGGGAGATGCTCTTGTCCTGCTGCAGGGGAAGTGGCTGTGTGTTCACCCAGCTTCCCCCAGCGACTGCGTGTTGGGTCTGCCCTGTCCTGCCAGGGACCTGTACCAGGCTCAGGTGAAGCCCAGGGCAAATCTGGGAGGTCACTTGGCCCTGGGGACAATCTGAATGAGTTTCAGCAGTGGCTCCATGACCTCGACCCTCAGACTAGGCTGGTACTACTCGCCAGCCACATGTGTTGGTGTTTAGGAGCCCGACAAGTGGGACTCATGGGAAGTGTTGGGCTCATCTTCCAGGAAGGGCCCTGGGGAGGAACTGATAGCAGGTCTGCCTGAGCAGCCAGTTTCCCCCCGGACACTGTGTGTGCCAGCCCTCCCCTGTGCTGGAAGAGGCCGGGTTGGGGCTCCCCTGCCCTGCTGGGGACCTGGGCTAAGCTCAGGGGGAGACCAAGGCAGACCCAGAAAGTCACTTGGCCCTGGGGAGAATCTGCAAGCTCAAGGGGTTTCCCTCAGGGAAAAGCTCAGGGCCTGGAGGTGGAGGACCACCATCCTTGGTCAGCAACCACCTTAGTCTGTGGAAAGTGCCTTGTGCTTATGGCCTTGATCTTTTCAGGGCGCACAGAACAAGGAAGCTGCCATGTCTGGGAAGCAGCCAGGGCAGGCAGAGGTGAGTTACCTCCCGGATGTCCACTTGTGTCTTTGAACCCAGTCTAGGATCCCCTCAGGCCACTACCCATGGGGACACTTCACACTGCTTAAGGCTGGATTTCTAACATGTGTCCCCGGCAGGCAGCGGCTGTCAGTGCTGTGGGAACTGCAGCCCATGGGGCCCACCCTGGCTCTCTGATGGCACTTTCTGACTCTTGGGATGCTTATGGTATCCCAAGTATCAACTTCTAGATGAATGGACGGGATGGACAGATAGACGAGGTGATGGATATGCAACGTACCCTCCAATGCCCATCTGGAACCCGTCCAGTGCTATCGTTCACCCTGGTCCCGCTGCCAGGGAAGACAACGTTGTGAAGCAGGATCAGACCTTTGGTACTGCCCGAAACAGAGGTTTATGCCCCAGCCTCCCCCAGACTCAGGATGCAGGAACCTTTGTGCATGAACCTCTCTTTGCAGCCTCTTTGCCTTTCTCAGAGGCTCCCACTGAAGGGTCGGACAATTCATGTTCTGTACACACATGTATAAAAACCCGACCTGCCTAGGGACTACTGGCCAGTGTCTGCAAGCTCAGGTTGTAGTGCAAGGCAGCCTTAACGGGTGGGTGAAACTCCCGAAGAACTAGGAGGCTTTTGGCAGCTGTTTATCATGTGGTTGGAACAGAAATCCTAAAGCTCCTGTGGAAATGTTCTCCATACAGGAGCTCCTGTATCTTTCCACCTTTCCCAATTGCAACCCTTGAGACTGGAAGTGGTGGGTTGGTGCACAGTCTTCTCTTACCCCAGTCCTAACACAGCAGGGCTCCGAGGCACCTCTTGGACTTCACAGTCCTGTGAGCAACATCATGTTAAACTTTCCAGGCAGGAAGAACTTGGGGTCCTTGTCAACCTGGACCCAATGTGAAAGGGGCGTTCCAGTATCTCCTGGAGTCACTGAAAAAGGTATCACATCTCTTAGTGCTAACAGCTTTTCCAACTCTGTGCTCCAGCAATGGCCCATGTCATAAGAACATACTTGAAATTGCCCTTTCATGTGCTGGCCTGGAACATCTTTA